TTTTCTGCTCTGGAAACAGAGATGGAAACTCCAGGGGTCTCCAAACCTGCTGTGGGGATGTTTACATACCCAAGAGACCCATTCCATAGGACTGTACACACCTCCTATGTGGCCTGGACCACTGAAGAGGGAAATTCGGATCTGATCCTAGCTTTCAGATGCTCTAGGCTTCAGGGAAGACAGATGTGCAGAGTTAATGAGCTGAAGGTGTGGCTCAGGGGAACAGCACTTGCTCAGCATGTACAGGGCCCTGGGTTTAAGCCCCAGCACAAACAAAGAAACAATAAACATACATGACAGGGCTGGGGAGACGGCTCAGTGGATAAGAACATACCTTAGCTCCAACACCCAACACTCTATAAAAGTCTGGGGCCTAGTTATAGTGTTAGGGGCAGAGCTAAGAGGATTGCTAGGATTTGTTGGATGTCATCCTAGATTCAGGATCAGCAGGAGATAAAGTGGCCAGTGGTAGAGCAGGACATCTGGCATCTCTCTTTGGCCTCTGCATGTGCTCAGGGACATGTGTATCCCACCATATGTACACATACACACACACACACACACACACACACACACACACAGAGAGAGAGAGAGAGAGAGAGAGAGAGAGAGAGAGAGAGAGAGAGAGAGAGAGAGAGAGAGAGAGAGAGAGAGAGAGAGAGAGAGAGAGAGAGAGAGAGAGAGAGAGAGAGAGAGCACTAACAGCAATGCTGTGATAACTGCTGTAAGATGCTGTCTATGAGAGGCTGGCCAGGTCTTCTGCCCTATCCCAACATGGAGCTAGAACAGGAAATGGATGAACTGGGGGAGGGCTGAGCAGCCAAACTTGGGCAGTGTTAGTCTGGACATCTTGTGAACTCCACTGTCCCCAAGCATGTCAGGGTACCAGGGATGGCCCCATGGTCTATGGTTGCCCTGGTTTTGCCCAGCTCGGTGGTGGTAATGTGCAATGGGGGGTGCAGCTGCTTGTGCCCTCCTCCTCCTGTGTCCCAGTGGCAGCAGCTGCCTGCTAATGACTAACCCAGGCCAGCAGGCTGTTTGTCTCTGCTGTCAGAGGTGTTTCCTGATGGAACTCTATTCTGGTTTCTGTTTTTCTCTGTGTAACAGAGAAAGAGGAGATGACTTCTACGTCATGGGGTTTTCCCAGCAATTAGCCTCGAAGCAAACAGACAGCAAACTGGGATTTAATGAGTTCCTTCCCGCCCTCCTCCATCCCCATTCCACTTGGTTAGCTGCCAGCCAGGGTTAGAGCTGGACACAGTCCCTATAGTATAGCCTCCTCCAACTGTGAAGGATGGGAGATCATGAGAACTGGGCACCAGGTTGGCAGACACCAGTTCACAGTTAGTCATCACTGGCCTCGAATCCAAAAGCCCTTTCTTCACCTAGTAACGCCTAGTCCCTGCCTGGGAGGGGACAAGGGGCCAGCATCAGGAGTTCAGAACTAAGTTCCTCACCACCCTTGTGCAACAAGGAGGCTGGGACAAATAAATACAACTTGTATTCCCCCAAAGTTCCCCCTTGCCACCCAAAAAGACTTTTATTCTAGAATTTCCCCAGAGCCCTGGCTGAGGGAGGACACAGCAACTCATGCAAGCTGCAAGGGACAGCTGCAGAGCCTGGTGAGGGAAGCCGGAGGCAATTGTCACTGTCCCACCCTATTCTAGGAACTTCCACACTTCCTCCATTTAATCCCTCCCCACCCTCAAGACAGCAAAAGAACACAGATACAAGGACACATTCCCAGCGAAAGGGAAACTGAGCCTTTCCCACGAGCATTGGTACTTCCTCGTTCCCTTTCCAGCTTCCTTAAACTCCAGACTCCCCAGAGACCAGGTACAGCCCTCAGAATTCTACCTGCCCAGACCTAGGACCTGGACCACTGTGGGAGGATTGAAGCAGCCTGGTGCCAGAGCCCAGAGTGACAGGGACTCCCGGATCTTGTGCACAGACAGAAGGCAGAAAGTTGGTTGGGCCCCCCCCCCCCTCTTTAGCCACTAGCATCATTCCTCACCATCCACCGGGGAGCTCCGTGGAGCGTGGAGGTCAAGAACAGAAAGGAAGGTGGGATTTTCCATCCAAGCTCTGTGGGCCACCCTGCTTCTTGTCATTCTGCCCTTATGCTAACCCTTCCCTTCTCTCCAATCCTGACTTCTTCCCCTCAGGAAGAAGAAAGCTGCTCCTTGTGTTGCTAAGCGCAGGATGCACAGTGACTGGACAATATTTCAAGCCCAGGCTGGACCAGCGACAGCCAGGACTGAGCATCCACAGTTTCTGCAATCACAGCCTACACGGACTCCTGAGCCCCAGACCCCTGGGCTTCCTGCTTCCTCCTCTTTGGTGTCTCAGGCACCGAGGCATCTCAGACTTAACCTAGGCAAACTAGACCTTATCCTCAGACATCACAGCCATCCAGTCCATGCACTCACTCCAGTAAGAAATGTGGGGATCCTGGCTCCCTGGTCCTGGCCAAGGGCTTCGATCAGTCTCAAAAACACACCTAGACTCTATCCAATGCTGGTCCTTGGCCCATTCTTCCCCACCCCTGCCTCATCTATCTCTTGCATGGTGATAGCACATCTCTGCTTCCATTCTTTAAGCTACTTTCCTTGCTGTCCTGAGTTTGCTTTTATATGCATATGTATGCACGGTGTGTGTGTGTGTGTGTGTGTGTGTGTGTGTGTGTGTACGAGTACGAGTGTGCCCCAGTAGATGTCTGAGGTTGACACTGGGAGCCTTCCTCAATAGTTCTCCACCTTTGTGTCTTGATGGACTTGCGTGCGTGTCTCTGAGTCTGTGTGTGTTTCTTTGGCTTCTATTTGTCTGTTTGTTTTGTCCTGTTCTAGTTTGTTCATTTTATTGTGTCATATTGCATTTTACTTTTTTTTAATAAGATGGCTGTTTGTTTTCTAATGAGAGAGAGAAAGAAAGGGTGTGGATTTGAGTGGGAGGGGAGGTCGGGGAGCATCTGGGAGGAGTTGGGGGAGGAGGAAGAACCTTGATCAGAATATAACATATGAAAAAAAAATCTATTTTTAATTACCATATTCATTGAGACCAGATGCTGACACAGCTGGTCTAGCTAGCCAGCTTGCTCTGGGAAGCCCCTGTGTACTTTGTGAGGGATTCTGGAATTACAGGAAGGCCATCACACCCACTCAGTATTTATGCGGGCTCCTGAGACCCAAACTCCTGTGCTCACACTGGTGAGGCAAGGGCTTTCTCCCCTGGGCTATCTCCCCAGTCCCTACGGATATTTATTTTTTTAAAGAAGGAACTTAGAACTAGCCATTTTCCAGCCTAAAGCCTTCCAAAACATTCCCTCATCCTTGTAGAGTAGAACTCTGAAACCCTTGTCATCCCCCCCCCCCCCAATGCTCCTGCCACCGCCCTGTCCTCCTGTCTTTGCAGACTCATGAACTTCCAACAGCTCTGGCTGTCTTGGAATTCACTCTGTAGACCAGGCTGGCCACAAACTCAGAGATCCACCTGCCTCTGGCAAGAGCCACCACCACCCAGGCTTTCAGACACTTTTGAGACAGGGTATCTCATAACCTGGGCTGGCCTTGAACTCTTTTTTTTTTTTTTTTTTTTTTTTTTTTTTTTTTTCCGAGACAGGGTTTTCCTGTGGCTTTGGAGGCTGTCCTGGAACTAGCAGACCAAGATGGTCTTAAACGCACAGAGATCTGCCTGCCTCTGCCTCCTGAGTGCTGGAATTAAAGGCGTGCGCCACCAACGCCTGGTGGCCTTGAGCTCTTGATCCTCTTGTGTCACACACCCAGGCTTTGGGATTGAGTATGGGAATGTACCACTGTGGCCAGCTCTCCTTTCAGACCAAAATAAATGAGGTAGCTCTGACCTGCCAAAACCACCCTTCCTATTCCCTGGGTCTCCCTAGCCACCCCTATCCTTATATAGCTGCCTTCCTTACAGCCTTCAGCCCAGCTTAATCTGTGTCTCTCAAAGAGGCTGGAGAGACATCTTTCCCCTTTCACACCTTCTCGTACTCTACTCTACCCATTCCCAGCACTTCTGATCACCTGACATCATCTATTCTTTAGTTTTCCCAGCTCCCACTTTGGTTATACTTCCAGCAGGGAGGGACCACCTATGCCTTTGTGTCTTGAACAGTGGCTGGTACCTTTCATGCCTTCATCACTGTTGGTTGCCAAAACAAGTGAAACACTTCACTACAAGATAAAAAAAGACAAGAACAGCAGGCCTTCCATGTTCCCCACCCGAGGTCCAGCCAGGACACACATGCCACAGGTCCCATAAAGTCCCACAAAGCTAAGTACATTAAGATCTCTGCTACACACTTTTGGGGGGCAGTTCTGACCAGAGACCATGGGAAAGGGGCCAATAGGGCAACACAGGACAGTACAGGACATGTCCCCTGACCGGAAAATTCATACACACGCCTACTGACGTGGTACTTGAAACCATGTTCAGGAGGAGGAGGAGGAGGAGGAGGAAAACTCCAGAACTCCTCCTATGTCATTGAGCAAGAGGTGGCTTCAGAACGCCATCACCACATGGCTCCAGCTAATGATTGGCAGGCCCAGCCTGGAAAACTGCCCAGGTCTGCTTGGCTGAGAACACAGCACACAGCCTTAGCCTCAATGCAAAGGGAGATAGATGGCAACAGTCCCAGGGAGCTTCCCCCAAGGGCCAGAAGGCTTGGGATGTCCAGTTCCTTTGAAACATGCATGAGTCCAAGAGTGGGCTGAGGTGGAAGAAGATTGGGAGATTGGAGATTCATGTTCCTGTGTTTTCTGTGACCCATCCACTGTGCGTCAGTCTCCCAGCACTGAATCAGAGATGGGACTTATGGGCAGTTTGCCCTTGAGTGAACCACACACCCAACAAAAAAGCCCAGGCACAGATCCAATGCCATGTTGAAAGAGGGACTCTGTACTTTGCCCAAGAGTCCCTCTAAAGAGGAAAGTCCTCTAATGGGTAGGTAATCTTCAAGTTAATTTGAATGGATTTAGACTCACCATGGAAGCTTTACCTCTAGGCATGTCTGTGAGGAAGTTTCTAAATTGGGTTAATTGAGGTGGTGTGTCGCGGTCTGGGGTCCCAGGCTGCATAAAAAGGACAAATCTATCTGAAACACAGCACTCATTCTTTGCGTTCCCAGGACTCGGCATGAAACCTGCCTTAGTCCCTTCCATCATACCTTCCTTGCCACGAAGAACTGCATCTCCTCCAATGGTAGGCAAATAAACCCTTTCTTCCTTAAATTGGTCTGGTTAGGCATTTGGTCACAGCAACAAAGTAGGCAACATATACACCACCCCTATTTTATTTCATTATTATGTGTTGGGGGTTGGAGTTGGGGATTGCTGTGTGCAAATGTGAATACAACGCCTACAGAGACTAGAAGAGAGGCCTGGATCCCCTGAGTTACAGGTGGCTGTGAGTCATTGGATATGAGTGCTGGGAACCAAACTTAGGTCCTTCAGTCGAGTAATGTGTGCTCTTAACCACTGAACCATCCCTCCAGCCCCAGGTTCCCTATTTTAGATATGTATTTGATTGACTCAACATTTGGTCTACACAGGCAACTGTTCTAGGAACAGAGTGTAGCTAGCCAGGGGCTGGCCTCTGGAAGAAGGCCTGAACACTTACAGGGGGTGAGGGAGCCCCCCACAAAGACTCTTTCTGAGAAACAAGGTGCTTAGTTCTTAATGCCTGCACCAGCACCTAATGAGTGCTAAGGGTGAATCCAGACTTAGGTGCTGTGGCAGTTTGAATGTAATTGGACCTCATAAGCTCATAGGGAGTGGCACTATTAGGAGGTGTGGCCTTGTTGGAGGAAGTATGTCATGTGGGGGTGGGCTTTGAAGTCTTCTATGCTCAAGCTTACACCCAGTGTCTCAGTTCACTTCCTGTTGCCTGCCAATCAAGATGTAGGACTCTCAACTCCTTCTCTAGCACCATTTCTGCCTGCATGCTGCCTTGCTTCCTACCATGACGATGATGAACTAAACCTTTGAAACTGTAAACCAGCCCTAATTAAATGGGTTCCCTTATAAGCGTTGCAGTGGTCACTGTGTCTCTTCACAGCAATAGAAACCCTAACTAAAATAGGTATATCTAGTAGGTCTGCAGACACCTCCCTTCTGACAGTTCTGACTATGCACAGCACTCTCAGGTGGCATCTACATCCAAACCCAGAACCTAATGTGGGCTTGGCTCACTTGGTGAGGGTGCTTACCTTGGTGAGGTGCAGGGAGGGACACTTGTACTTCTGTGTATTCCACATCATCCTTATTCTGGGGGTCTGTTCAAAGGAATCACAGCACCTTGAGTTTAGACCGCATCTCCTCTAGAGGTATCAAAGCCCACTAGAGATCTTCATTACAGTTTTCCCTACACTGTCCAGGTGGCAGACTCCACAGCCTCTCTGACTCCCGTTACCTGAGTATGGATGGAGCCTCTGCCAAGGTTTCTATAGTGTGGGAAGACTTTCAACAGGTTAACAGGCATGGCAAACAGCCCGGCCTCCACCCCCACAGTTAACTCCCACCAGTCTCAAGCCATGGGGAAGGATTTGAGTGCTGTGGGACCAGGCTCACCAGCATCTGAGTGTTCTAAGGAGCTGACACATTCAAGGTAATGAAATCCCCAGGCTCTGTGGAGACACCCAGGAAATGACTTTGTTTTCAACCCAGGCTATTACTGCCACTGTTGTTTGTGTCTGGTACCCATGGAGACCAGAAGAGGGTGTCAGATCCTCTGGGACTAGAGTTACTGATGGGAGCTGAAGCTGGGTCCTCCAACAGAGCAGTCAGTGCTCTTAACCATGAGCTGTCTCTCCAGCCCCTGTTGTTGTTTCTTGAGACAGGGTCAGGTGTATCCCAGGGCAGCCTGGAACTTGCTAGGTAAGCAAGGTTAGCCTTGAATACCTGAGTGCCGGAATTACAGGTGTAAGCCATGCCTGGAGTTATTTTTTTTTTAAGATTTATTTATTTATTATGTATACAGTGTTCTGCCTCCATATATGCCTGCACAGCCAGAAGAGGGCACCATATCTCATTACAGATGGTTGTGAGCCACCATGTGGTTGCTGGGAATTGAACTCAGGACCTCTGGAAGTACAACCAGTGCTCTTAACCTCTGGGCCATCTCTCCAGCCCGAGTTATTTAGTTTTTAAAGCCCCCACAGAACAAGGGGTTCTTTATAGCACCTAAAACCAATTGTATAGTTAAAGAGACTTCTCAGAAACAGGTCAGGAGTTTCAGTTCTCAGGAGAGCAGCATGAAATAGAAAACACCTTTAAGAAATGATTTAAGCCAACCCCTCTAAGCTTGAGGCAGAAGCAAATTGTCTATTGTTAGTTGTCTTTAAAAAAAAAAAATCTTGCATCTGGGGAACCAGCATAGGACCAAACCAGGTCCCTTGAATGTGTGTGCCAGTGGGGGCTTGGGCAGTCTATGGGGCCTCTGGCAGTGGAACGAGTATACATCCCTAGTGCATGAATGGGCTTTGGGAGCCCATTCCCTAGGGAGGAATACTCTCCCAGCCTAGATACATGGGGGAGGGCCTAGGTCCTGCCCCAAATGATGTGACAGACTTTGATGATCCCTCATGGGAGACCTCACCTGCCCTGGAGAGTGGATGGGGGATGGGATAGGGAGTTGTGGGGGAATGCGAGGAAGGAAGGGAGGAAGGGAGAGGGACTGGGACTGGTATGTAAAATAAGATTGTTTTTAATTTAAATAAAATTAATTTTTAAAAATCATAAAGATCTCCTCCTAAGCCACCAGAGGGAAACATCTTCCTAGGCCATTCTGAGTGCCAGGAAGTTTTTTGTTTGTTTTGTTTTAGGTGTGGCAGCTCATTTCTACTTGGATTAGGAGGCACAACCATTCAGAGCACTGGCTAGCCTCCTTGGAGAAAACACTGGGCCTGTACTTTACCATATACAGGGCCTCCAAGAGGAGTGGGGAACTTTCCAGCCACCTCAGAGTTCAATTTGTCTTTTCCTGTGGGTGCTCATTTACCTATTTTTAAAGACAGGGTCTTACTACTCACTATGTACACCTGGCTGACTTTGACCCCACAGACATCCACCTGCCTCTGTCTCTTAAAAGAGTGCACCACCATGCACAGCCCCTTGTGAGTCTTTCTTTTAATGTGAAAGTTTCTAATAAAATATTTAAAGAATTGCCTTTATTTTGATTTGTCACTTTCATTGTGTAATTTCCAACATCATAACCTGATTGAAAATCACAATCACAGTGAGTGACAGTGGAAATTAGTTTCCTGCACCCACGAGTGTACATGTGTAAGTGTGTACACACACGTACGTGAGCAAGCACCTTTGTGCTCTTCCCCACACATGTGTGTTTGGGGTCTGGAGGTTGACCTCAAATGTTTTCCTCTATTGCTGTCCATATTTTCTTTCTTTCTTTTTTTCTTTCTTTCTTTCTTTCTTTCTTTCTTTCTTTCTTTCTTTCTTTCTTTCTGTTTGTCCAGACAGGGTTTCTCTGTGGCTTTAGAGGCTGTCCTGCAACTAGCTCTTGTAGACCAGGCTGGTCTCGAACTCACAGAGATCCTCCTGCCTCTGTCCACATTTTTCAAGACAGGGTTTCTCTGTGTAACAGCCCTGGCTGTCCTGGAACTTGCTTTGTAGACCAGGCTGGCTTCAAATTCACATAGCTCCACCTGCCTCTGCCTCCTGTGTGCTGGGATTAAAGGTGTGCACCACCACCACCCAGCTGACATGGGACACTTTGATTTGAGAGTTATTTCGAAGTCAGAATGTAAGCAAATGAATTAAAAATTACTCTTCTTTCTAGAAGGGACCAGTCACTAACAACAAACACAAAAGCTGATGGTTAATGTATGCCCTCCAGTTAGGGGATTGGGTTGACGAGAATATAACTTAAAGAAACAATAGCATCTCTAGATTATCACCTCAATGGGCACAGACAAAACCAAGTGTGGGGTTTGCTCAGTAGTAATGCCCTTGCCTGGACTGTGTGAGGCTTTGGCTCATGCCCAGAACTATAAAAACAAGCAAGCAAGTAAACAAACATTTTAGCATGTTCTGCGCTTAAAAAAATTATATGGGGCTGGAGAAATGGCTCAGTGGTTAAGAGCACTGACTGTTCTTCCAGAGGACTGAGGTTCAATTCTCAGCACCCACATGGCAGCTCCCAACTGTCTGTGACTCCAGTTCCAGGTGTTCTGACACCCTCGCACAGACATATGTAAAGGCAAAAACACCAATGCATAAAACAAAAACAAATCATTAAAAATTCCTATAGATACTATAAATACTATTCTTCAAGATCACATAGTTTTCCAAGCTGTGTTTGAGCTAATTGGTATTATCATTATTTAAATAATTGGCTTGGGTTTTTTTTTTTTTTTTTTTTTGTTTTTTTGTTTTTTTGTTTTTCGAAACAGGGTTTCTCTTTGGAAACAGGTAGCTTTGGAGCCTATCCTGGCACTCGACCAGGCTGGCCTCGAACTCACAGAGATCCGCCTGCCTCTGCCTCCCGAGTGCTGGGATTAAAGGTGTGAGCCACCAATGCCCGGCGAAACAAGGTCTTGATATGTAGCCCAAAGTGGTTTGGAACTCACTATGTAGAAGAAGATGGCCTCCGGTTTGTGGTGAGGCCCCTGCATCTGCTTCCTGAGTACTGGAATGTTAGGTGTGAGCTGCCACTCCTGGCTCTCAGTGACTTCCTCACAGACCTAAGGGTTCTGAGACCCACTGAGGCAGCCTCACTCCACTGAGGTCTGCATTAGAATTACATCTCAAACCCGGCAGTGGGGGCACACACCTTTAATGCCAGCACTCAGGAGGCAGAGGTGGTGAATCTCTGTGAGTTCCAGGACAACATGGTCTCCAGAGTGAGCTCCAGGACATCCAGAGCTGTTACACAGAGAAACCCTGTCTCAGGGGCAGGGTGGGGTGGGATATCTCAGCACTTCTCAAAAATGCCTCTGCTAAGAGCAGAATGTTTCTACTGGTTTCCTTTTGTGGCAAAGTTTAGTGAAATGGTGGAAATCCCATCTGAGAAGTGTTACTGACAATTTCATTTGACAGCTGGTTTCTGCCTCACAAGGGCAGTCTGATTGCTCCGGGGCAATTTCAGTCTTTGGAGGCATTTTTCATTCCAAAGAAATGAAGCAGAGAAGGGTGGAGACAACTGTCCTTTTCAGTCTGGGTTTTATTAGCTTATCTTCCGATAGAGGATTAGCTAGGCACCACTGCTTGAAGCCAGGGTTTCCCTTCTGCCTCAAGCCCACCCACTCAGAGTTGGTAAAAGTCTTTGTAATTACAGGAAGCCTTGGCCTTACCATAATGACTGTTGGCTTCCACATTGGGCTCAGAAACCTTCTCACTGTTGGAGTTCAGAAGCGGAGCTGCCGGCCTTCACATGGAAATCAGAAAGACAAAAGAAAAATCCATATTAACATTTTTCTCTGTACCCCCAAACCACCAAAACCATCCAAGTTAGATCAAGAGAAAGCAAGAAGAAATATGCCCATCACACGCTAGTAATCTCAGCACGGGGAAGGCTGAGGCAGGAGGATGGCTGGGGGGGTCTGAGGCTAATCAGGGCTACACAGTAAGATACAAGCTTGTCATGGCAGCACATGCCTGTAATCCTAGCCCTTGGGAGGCAGAGGCAAGAAGATCAGGATAAGGAATTTAAGGCCAGTCTAGACTATATGAGATCATGTTTTAACATGAAAACAAAAGGTAAAGGGTATAAAAGTATTTTTAAATTTTTTATTATTTTTAGGTGTGTGTGTGCGTGCATGTGCATGGTGTATGGTACCTTCAGAGGCTAAGCCATCTCTCCAACATGGTAAAAATGTTTCTTTTTAAAAAGGCCAACTCTTGGGGTGGGGGTTGTCACACACCTTTAATTCTAGCACTCTGAAGGCAGAGGCAAGTGGATCTCTGTGAGTTCAAGGCCAGCCTGGTCTACAGAGTGAGTTCTAAGACGGCCAAGGCTACACAGAGAATAGAGAAACCCTGTCGTCCCCCCCCAAAAAAAAGGCCAACTCTGTTATCCTAAGTATGTAAAGTAGGCAAGCTTCCACTATGACAGATAAACAGAAACACGCACTACACCCAAGGCCCTTATTCTTTATGAGTTTGGCAAGAATCTCCAACAATTTCCTAATGACCAGACTGTGCCTGTGGACAAATCCAGGCATGCCCACAAAGCAGTCACCACCCCTCTTACAAGGACACTGACCTGGACATCTCCACGGGTTTCTGTTTGGCTTTAAAAAAAAAAAAGAAAGAAAAATTCAGAATTCAGGTCAGTATAAGTATACTGACTCTCCTAATGACTGACTACCCATAAACAGCAAGGGGAAAGAGGAACTGGGGGTGTGGCTCAGTGGGTAGAGTGTTTGCCCGGCATGCACAGAGTGGTGGGCTAAGTCCCCAACAACACAGAAATCTCATGCTTGCCCGTGACCCCAGCATCCCAGAAGCAGAGGCCGAGGATCTGAGGTTCAGTTAGCCTAAGGTAAGAGAGTGGATAGGTTGGGGGTGAGAAAAAGAGAACGTGCCAGATGATATCATACACATTCACAATGAGTGGAAAGGAGGGAAACTGGGGTCCCCTTGATACTTTTCTTGCTTATGTTCATGCAGCTAAGGATCCCTGCCAGGGCCGCAAACATGATGAGTACATGCTGCCATCACTGACCAACACCCCCCTCCCCTTCTTTTGGCTTACAGCAAGAGACTTTATGCAGTTTTTTTCAGATACATACATATACATATACATATACATGTACATATACATGTACATATACATATATATATATATAATTTTAGCCAGAAACAATAGCATGTGACCAAGACCAGGTACAGGACTCAGATTCCCCGAGAAGCAGGCACTATCTCTGATTCATATACATTGCAAAAAAAAGATGATTGCAAAAGGCAAAGCCTAAGCCAACTCCTGTGCTTTCAGGTCCTGGCTGGCCTGAAACCAAAGTCAGGGTTAACCTTGGAAAGAAGCTTGCTTGAGGTCTGTCTGTTCCTAAAGGAACTGCAATTTTCCTGCCTCAGAAAAGACCAAAGACCCCTCCCCTTCCCATCTGCTCTCCCAGCCCAGACAGCAGCACCAGAGGCTCCTGAGAGCCCATCTGTTCATCATTCTGTTCCCCCTGTGCCCCAGAATGCACCAGTATTGTGTGTCACTTTCCTTGTGCCTGGGCTAGACTCGATTTCCAAGTGCTGGCTGGTGCTCCTAGCTTCCACCAATGTGCACGGTAGAAGATCATGGCACAACTGGAAGATTATCTGGGAGGTACATGGTGTGAGCATGGGCATCACAGCAGCGCTAGTTTCTGGCAAGAACCACCTGTGGATAGGTGCTCACCTCTGGCTTTCCTCAGGAAGTAGCATTTGGCTGCAACTATCAACGCAGCGATGACTGCTCCAATGACAACCACTGCAATGAGTCCTTTCACCCAGGGAGCAAGAAAGACTAGAAGTGGGAGAGGAAAAAGGAAAACACATGTTTTTCTCCTGCCAGCAAGAAATAACAGCAGATTTAAGCAGCTACTCAGACCCATTTTTGCAAGTCTTGTAAATAGCATCTCGCTTTGGTGTCTATCTTTGAGGGCGGTCTTTCTGCCTTCCTTGAGTGGTGCAGAGATGATGGCTTCCACTAGAAGTCAAGGTTGGCTATAGTCTTCAAGGAGGGATCAAGCCAATTTTGCTGAGATGGTCCTCCTTTTGGGAATGCTCTTTCCACTCTCCTCCATCTCTACATGACTCTCCTGGTCAAGCACACAGCTAAGCTCTTAAAAACTTGTCTGTTTGGACACAGCTGGTTCATGGCTGGACATCTCATGTCTTTCCATCAGGTACTTGGAACTGGGACTGGATAAAATACCTTCAGTTCCTTATAGCTTCTGGAATGCTGGGATTAAAGGCGTGTGCCATTACGCCTGGATAGACATCTGTCTCTTAGCCTTCACTCAAATGAACTAGTCTCCATTCCTCTTCCTCTTACATGGAGCGTGTGCACTTTCCTCCCCTTGGAGGCCCCCATATATACCTCACTGGTGAGGCCTGGACTCACCTCTGACCGTTAGACTGTTGCTTCGCGGGCTGCTCGAATGACTGGCTCTGTTGGAGGCTGTGCAATAGTACTGTCCCTCCTGCTTCTTGCTGGCTTGTTTCTCAACCCAAAATGCTTGGGTGTCATTCAGGGTGGTTTCGTGGAAGGGTCTGTCATCGTTTTCTTTGTAAAACTTGAACGTGATTGGGCCAGTCCCCTCTTTCACAGAGCATCGAAGTACTATTTCATTCCCAGACGGAACCTCGTTACTTGACAGGATAGAAATCGTAACTTCGTCCACCGGGGCTGGAAAGCAGGCAAAGGATTAGTCCTGAGCAGAGAAGGGCAGAGGCAAGTATGGGGTGCACACCCCTGATCCCAGCACTTAGGAGATGGGGACAGAAGGATCTCATGTTCCAGGGCAGAATGCAACATAGAGACATAGAAAGTTCTGTCACAGAGAACCTAGGAGGGAGGGGAAGGGAATTGAACAGAGAAGGAACATAGAAAAGTCACTTCTTGTCAACTTTTCTCCTCTGCTTCCCACTTCCACATTGTCCCTTCCTGATAATCCCAGAAGACAGTGACACATACCTCCTGTCCTCAGCTACTGACAAAACAAAAAACCAGTGCTGTGGGACAATCTTCTTTCCACTGTATTGGTTACTCTCATTGGTTTAATATGAGCTGACTGGCCAATAGCTAGGCTGGGAAAGGTTAGCCAGGACTTGTGGACAAAAAGAGAGCACAGGGAAGAAGGAAGGGTAAGTCGCCAGTGAGATGAGGTGAGAAGCGTGGAGAGGAGCAAGATTAGTGTGCCACGCTGACCAAAGGTCTCACCACGAGGGAGAGCATAGATAAGAAACCTGGGTGAATTTAAGTTGTAAGAGCTAGTTAATAACAAGCTTAAGTATTGGCCGAGCATTTATAATTAATAATAAGTCTCTGTACGGTTATTGGGGAGCTGGTGGTCCTGACTGAAAACTGCCTAGACACTAGGGACACGAGCATGACTGGCCATGAAGCAGCACTACAAGATTAATTTGTGTTTTCTTTTAGAGACATGAGCGTGTGTGCTGTGCAAATGCTTGAATGAATTCTCCCTGCCTTTCTGCTTACAAAGACGTGTGGCATTTACCCCGGTTTCCTTCCCCTTTCTTTGCTTTCACAGCCTCATTTCCCATTCCCTTACTGTCCCTGAAGCTTGCCTTCCACACATCTGGCTTTGCTACTGTTGTCTATTGTTGCCATTGTTTCTGGTGTTTTGGTTTTTGTTGTTTGCTTGTTTGTTTTTGGATACAGAGTTTCTCTGTGTAGCCCTGGCTGTCCTGTAACTAGTTCTGTAGACCAGACTGGCCTTGGACTCAGAGATCCATCTGCTTCTGCCAAGTGCTGGCACTAAATGTATGCACCACCACCACCTCGCAGTTTAATTTGCTCATTTATTTATTTGAGATAAGGTCTCATTATGTAGCCCTGGCTGGCTTCAAACTCACCATGTAGACCAGGCTGGCCTTGAACTCAGAAATCTGCTGGCCTCTACCTCCTAAGTGCTGAAATTAAAGGTGTGCACTACCACGATCTGCCCTTATTTTATTTTGTTTTTTAAGACAGAGTCTCATAAAACTGGCCATGACCTCCAGATCTTCCTGTGTCAGATTACAGGTGTGTGCCACCAGCCCCAGACACTCATCTGCTTTTGAAACTGTGTTGTTATCTCTAGTCTCAAAGAAACTGGAAAAGTCACTTGGCCCAGAGTTCAGGGCCCAGCAGAGTAAGTTCAATGGAGAGGGTGGTCATTCGTTCCTCATGCAGTTTCCTGGTTCTAGCCTCCTACATTCAGACTGTCACCAGCTCCTCCTGTTGACATGGTTTCCCCAGCTGTGCTGTTTCCGAAGCTAACTCTCCTCCCTTATCGTCTCCATTACTATTTGTTTTGACAGTGAAATATGGACTTTCTGGAAAGTTGGCCCTCAGTCTTCCAACTCCACTCTTTTTAAAAAATAACATTTTGAGCTTGCCAGGTGGTGGTGTTGCACGACTTTAATCCCAGTACTCGGGAGGCAGAGGCAGGCGGATGTCTGTGAGTTAGAGACTAGCCTGGTCTACAAGAGCTAGTTCTAGGACAGCCTCCAAAGCCATAGAGAAACCCTGTCTCGAAACACCCCCCCACCAAAATAAACCATTTTGATCTATTTATTCTGTGCACAGGTGTGCACGTGCCACAGTGGGTGTGGAAGTCGGAGAACAATTTGTGAGACCCCCTTCCACCATGTGGGGTCCCAGGGATTGACCTCAGGTCATCAGGCTGGGCGGGCACCTCCACCTGCCGAGTCATCTCGCCAGGCTCTCCATCTCCACTCATGGGAGTTTCACCTCCATACTCAGCTTTTATTTCTGAGCACTGAAACCTAAACTGAAGCTTCCTGTCCAGACAGCTTCCCGGAACCCGAGGCTCCCTTCCCACCTGGAGACTTAGAAAGCCAAAAGTGCTGTGCCCCCCACTGGGCCCTTTTCCTCAGCAGCATTCTTAACCATTCAGGCCACATTCCCTACTAGTGACAGTGGACTGGCCAACAGACGTGAGTCACCTCTCAACGCAAAGGGTGGTATGAGATCTAAAGGAAGCTAAGCATCTGACCTGGGATGGCCGCGGTCCCACACGGGGACAGCCTGAGCACATTGCCACGGGGAAGAAGGGATTAGTGGTGAATTGGTCTCAAGAGCCAGACTGCCTGGGCTCAGATCCCAAGCCTACCACCTACCCTGTATTTGCTCTAAGTCTTAGCAACTTCATTGCAAATCCAAGGGTAAACTATGATGAGTCTCATGTGCTATTTTGAGTATTACTAGGGATAATTTGCTACAATGCTTCACCAGGCCTGGACATCTGAGGAGGGCTCAGTAAATGCTAGCCACTAATACAGACCCAATTTAAACCATTTCAACTCATGGCTTCCTCCTGGGTGTTCACACTGACTTCTTAACATCTGGAGGTGGGAAGTCTCCACTCCTCAACACCAGCTGAATGCACAGCAAGCAGGTTCCCCAAACCCACTCTTACCGCACCCCTCTTCCCTCTCTTGTCCACTGAGACTCGGGTATTATGTATCCCAAGCTGGCCTTGATCTCACTATGCAGCTAAGGATAACCTTGAACTACTGATCCCCCTGCCTCTACCTAGAAGTACTGGGATTATAGGCCTGTCGTAGTCATCCATTGCCTCTCCCCTGTGGACAAGTCTTGCCCTCACCAGCGCATGTAGACCGTATGCTTTTATACACTGTACATTGATGACACAGAGTTGTTAAACAAAAGGTGACAAATGACAAGAGAAGGAAGGGTGGCTAAGGGTCTATCAACAGGATTCAGAGCAAGGTAAGCAGAGGCACTGCAAAGGCCACTCAAAGGCACAGGTCAGACACTGAGGGAAAGCTCTCTGTCCCCAAGACCAAGGTGAGGATCCCAGGCGGTTCCCGTGAACCAGTGTCTGCCAAAAGTTTCCCTGTGTGACCCTGATGTTCCACCAAGGTCAATGGCAGAAAAGAGTTCCGGCCTGCAGCTCTTGTGAAAAGGTACAAAACCAAGAAACCCCAAATACACAATATCAGCAGTTCCTTAAGACCAGCCACCTTCCCTTTTCAGGAGATTCAAGGGTCACTTGAAAGATCAAAAGGAATTACAATGGCCATGCCAAGAGCCCCCGTCTTTCTCAGAGCCGTTTGTGGGGGCTTAGTTCTGCTTTGATTGGCTGTGTGAGATACACAGGTACCATCCCTGTTATCCCCACAACCCCTAATTGACATCAAACCTTCCAGCCTGTTAAAGCCCTGCCCTTCTTGCTTACCTATCACCTTGACCCTCAGGGTCTCGCTGTACAACTGAGGGTGGGAATGGCAGTTGTTCGCCATGCACTGGTATTCCACATCTTCGATGGGCTCATCTGTGAATGCTGCTGGGTCATTGGAGGTCACCATGCGATCCAGGAAGACATTTGTGTCTTTTATAAGGTGGTAAGTGACAGGTGCAGTTCCATTTACAGACTGGCAGCTGATGGTTATGGCATGTCCTTTTATGATCTCAGCCTTGGCATCATGAAATATCCTAGGCTTAGACAGCATTTCTAGAACAACAGAGAAAAACAATCCAAATAAAACAGAAACAACAACCCAAATTTTGGGCTTGGCTTTCTCCATCGAGATCATGATTTCAAATGTCTGCCTGATTTACCATTAAGGGGCTCCTATAAGGTTACCAGGCAATGCCTGTCTGTGTGTGTGTGCATTTGGTAACACGGGAGGAGAAGAACTATGGTAGTTAGATGGGGATGTAGCCCAGTGGTAGAGCATTTGCCTAGCATGTGTAAGGTCTCAGGTTCAATTCCCAGCACTAGGGCAGTATAAGCAAAATAATGATATAATAGCTGGGTATGGTGGAACACACCTGCAATTCCACACCTGGGAGGGCAGGCAGGGAGATCGCAAGTTCGAGGCTAGCCTGGGCTACATAGTATAACCCTGTCCTGTCTCAAAGGAGAAGGGGAAGAAGAAGTGGGGAGCAATGAGGAGAAAGGAACAGGAGGAATAAGAGAATGGACGCGGAAGAGCTAGGTTTCGTGGCACCTGCCTGCCTGCAGGTTCACCAGCCAGGCACGATGTGGGCACTGGGAACTGAACCCAGGTCCTCTGCAAAAACAGCAAGTGCCCATAAACACTGTGTAATCTCTCCAGGCCCTGTGTGTGTGTATGTGTGTGTGTGTAATGAATATGAAGGTCAGAGGACAATTTGTAGGAGTTGTTCCTCTGTTTCTACCACGTGGGTCACAGGGACTGAACTCAGGTCGTCAGGCTTGGCAGCAAGCACCTTTATCCAGTAAGCCATTTTGCCCGTCCTTCCTGGCGTTCTCAACCTGCCTGAATCTGGTGAGCCTTTGAGACCACACTGGGGATGGCTGGCCATCCTCTCCTTGCTCCTACTCGACCATTGTGCATGTGAGGTTCTGGGAACATACTCACCGCACACCTTTATGTGTACCGGGTCGCTCCGCTTGACCACTCTGCCGATGCCTGCGGTACAGCTGTACATCCCACTGTCTCTGTCCTCGGCAATCTTGCTGAAATTCTGATCCTGAGACAAGATCATTGTTTCCTTCTGGATGGTGAAGTTGACTGAAGGTATGCCCGGGACAGAGCAAAACAGATCCAAAATTTTCCCTTGGTCCACTTCTTTGGAGGAGAATTGCAGCTTCGGTTTGGGAAACAGCTCTGAAGAACATTAAGTGGGAAGAAGGGAGATGTGGTTACCACCTTAATCCACTGCCTAGAGATGCTTGTGGTCCAGCTACTCTTAGCAGCATCAACTCGTACCAGCCTGTTCCTTACATACCTGATGGGCATGGTTTTCACGAGTCAGGGCTCACTCCAAATCTGAGATCTCACTGCAGGCTCTTCCTGAATTTTAATCTACAAGGATTCACTCATCCATTTATCGAGACAGGGTGTCAAGTAGCCTGGGTTGGCCTTGAACTAAGTAAGTAGCCAAGAATGACCTTGAACACCTGATCCTACTACCTCTGCCTCCCAGGTGTTGGGAATACAGGTGTGCACCACCACGCCTGGCTTACACAGTATTGACTGTAAGGGAGACCTTTTGCTGGGCATCAGGGAGATAAGAGTGCCCAGAAGACAGTCCAACTTCAAAGAACTCCTACCTAATGCTCAGTTCAGGAATAGTGTTAGCAGCAGAGCCCACAGAGAGGAAACTGAACTTCACCATGAGGAAATTAAGGGACCAGTCCTGAAGGGAAGTTGTCCTAGGCTGTTGACTAGAGAGAAAGTATATTAGATAGCATTTGGAAGTTCACTATGGAAGAAAGTGAATAGCTGGCCTGTTTGTATCTGAAGTCCTCAAAGGCAAAGCCTGCTAGTTCTCCATTCTCTCTCTTTCTTTTTCTTTAAAGATTACTTATTTATTTATTTGATGCACACTGGTGTTTTTCCTGTATATACTCTGTGTGAAGGTGCTGGATCCCCTGGAACTGGAGTTACAGACAGTTGTGAGATGCCATGTGGGTTCTGGGAATTGAACCCAGGTCCTCTGGAAGAACAGCTAGTACTTGCTCATAACCCCTGAGCCATCTCTCCACCCTAGCTCTCCATTCTTAATAACCAGCCCAGCATACATAATGTGTCCAGTATATATGATGAATTGATAGTTTTTCTTCTCTAGAAAAGAATGTATACCTTATCAAGAGCACTCCAAACATCTGTCATTACTAATAATCCGTGCTGGGAGTGATGGAGCACGCCTTTGATCCCAGCACTCAGGGGCAGAGGAAGGCAGATCTTTGTGTAGACCAGGCCAGCCTGGTCTACATAGGGAGTTCCAGGGCTACATGATGGGAAAGTCTCAAAAATAAATAGTAAACAAACAGGCAAATAGCTCACTAAATTGCTAGCACATGACATCACACCCTGTAACAGGAGGACCTACTGTAGTATGGTAATATCTCAATTGGCCAGTTGAAAACCTGCCCACCTGTAAGACTTGGGGGACAGTGGCTGTGACGGTATGCTCAGAGCTTGACATTTAGGGGTCTGGAGGAAGTTACTGAATGAATGGGTGAACTCCTGTATAAATGAACACTTTCAATGGAGAGCCGAGATCTTGTCCTTGGTTCAGCCCAGTCCTCCGACTAACCATAGGGCTACATTCCTATCGGGCTGGGAGTTAAGGACTTAGCACTGAGCACAGGAGTGAAGGTCTCCACCCTCAGCAACTAACATTCTAGAGGCTGAATACACACAGCCATTAGGATAAGTACAGGATATTTTTAGTGGTATTTCAGAGAAATAAAGCTGGGTACAGGGGTTAGGAGTCTGAGAGAACTTGAAAATGCATTGGGTCGGCAAACTAAATAGGCCTGGGGAGTATCTCTTGTTCTGCCACTTGGGTGGCTTGTAATTAGGCTAGTTGCTAACATTCCAGTCTAAGTTTCTGTATCATAAAATGTGTCTCATAACTACTATAATTGAGATGAGCATGAAATAACAAACACATATAAACCCATCACATGGCATTCAACAGTGGGAGATTGTTACTGTTGTTTTTTAATAAACTACGCTTCTGGGCATGGCGGTGTATGATTGGAATCCTAGTACCTGGGCAGTGAAGGCAGAAGGATCAGGAGTTCAATGCCAAAGTCTACTATGTGGTAAGTTCAAGGCCAGCCTCAGCTATATGAGATCCTGTCTTTAAAAAATGGGAGAAAGTGGTGAGATAGCCCAGGGGTTAAGAGCACTTACTGCTCTTGTAGACCTGGATTTGATTGCCAGTACCCATATCAGGCAGCTCACAACTACCTGCAACTCCAGATCTAAGCGCTCAGCATCACCTAAACACATATGACACACATAAACACACACAGACATGCACAAATTCTTTTTTTCAAAATTTTTTTGTTGTTTGTATTTTAGAGACAGGGTCTCACTATGTAGTCCTGGAACTCAACTTTGTAGACCAGGCTGACCTCAAACCCAAAGAGATCTATTTGCCTCTGCCTCCCAAGTGCTGGGATTAAAGGTGTGTGCCACCATGTCCATTAAAAATCTTTTAGAAAAAGGGTTGGGGTGGAATGTGGCTCAGCATTTAAGAGCACTGGCTACTCTTACAGAGGATCCAGGTTTGATTCCCAGCACCCACACGGTGACTCACAACTGTAACTCCAGTTCTAGGATGGCCTGCACCTTATTCTGGCTTTCATGGGCACCAAACATACAAGTGGGGCACAGACCTACATGTAGGCAAAATATCCATACACAAAATAAAATAAAAAATTTAAAAGCTCATGAAGATGAGTTTGGCAGAAAAGAAAGATATATACCAATAGAGATATTAGCTAACGCTCATTAGATGCAGACCTAGGTGTCTTATTTAAACATTGTGACAGTCCAATAAGATAATCACCACCAGGGGTGGGCCTAGGCCCTATCCCAAAGATATGATGGACTCTGATGACCCCCCATGGAAGGCCTCATCCTCCCTGGGGAGCAGAAAGGATATGTGATAGGTAGGGTTTTAGTTGGGGGGGTTGTAGGGGAGGATGGGAGGGAGAGGGAACTGGGATTGACATGTAAAACAATCTTGTTTCTAATTCAAATAAAAAAATATGCAAAAAAAAGATAATCGCCACCTATCTTATAAGATAACCACTATCCTATACTATAAGATAATCACCACCTATCCTATAAGATAATCACCATTCTATCCCATTGTATCTCACATGGTTGAGGCAAGTTCAAGGGTTTGGCACAGAAGTGTTGAGCCTCAGGGTTGGGTCAATGCCAGCACCTGAACACTACTCAGCCACCACCACAGCCAACTGCTGTATGTTGACTCTTTCCCACAAGCCCCAGTGCCCAGCCTAAACACACACATAGTCCACCTTGGATTGCAGTACAGAGTACTACTAGATAGCCCAGGTTAGCCTTGAGCTCATGCTCCTCCTGCCTCAGCCTCCCAAATGCTGGCATTATAGACGTGTGGAACTACGTCCGGTCACAATTGCCCCTTGAGCCCACCATTGCCAGCCGTCTCCCTCAGCATTCCTACCTGTTATGTTGACCATGATGCTGCTGACCTTGGAGATGCGGTTAGATTCCACTTTGCAGGTATAATGGCCACTATTCTCCACCGTGGCCATGACTGAGTAGAGAGCCTCAATGTTCCGTTTGGAGGTGGCCACAATAGTCTTGTCCTTTTGGATTATAATTTCTGGAAATTCCCGGACCAAGTGTGTCACTTGAACTGTGCACTTAATGTATAGCTGGTCTCCTTCTATGATCACTCCAGAAGGGTGGATTAGAAACTTGGGAGTAGAGAAGGACTCTACAAGAAAGTAGAAGATAAGCCAGTTGGACTCAAGTTCAAACCTGGACATTTCCTACTCTAATATTTGTGTGGGAGGAACTGTGTGTATGTGTGTGTGTCAGTGGCAGGAGTGAATTATACGTGTGTGTGAAGGGCAGAAGTGCACCTCAGATATCACTTCTCAGACACTGCTATATCTTTTGTCACACACACCCACACACACACACACACACACACACACACACACACACACACACGAACCACATGCATACTTGCTGACTATGAAGCCCAAAAGAGGGCATCAGATACCTGGAACTGGAGTTACAGATGGTTGTGAGCTGTCATGTGGGTGTGGGGCCTGGGAATCCAACCCAGGTCCTCTGGAAGAGCAGTCAGTGTGCATGACTATTGAGCCATCTTTCCAGCCCCATTTGCCTTGGTTTTTTTTGAGACAGGATCTCTAATTGGGTTGGGGCTGGATAAGAAGGCTTAGGCTGAGTAACCATGCAGTGTGTCAGAACCATGGAGTGTCTCTGGCTCCCGGGGCTGGGATTACAAGTGTGCACCACTATACCCAGCTTTACCTGCGTTTACTGACCAAGCTATCTCCCTAGTCCTTTTTGGCTCTTTTGGCTCCTCCCCTCCCACTACACCCTCCTTGAATGGATTCAGGTTCTCCTAAATGCTAGTCAAATGTTCTACCACTTAGCCATATCTCTAGTTCTCTCTTTCATTTTTTATTTTGAGAGAGGGTCTCACTAAATTGCCCAGACTGGCCTTGAACTTGTTCTGTAGCTGAGGCCAGCCTTGAATCTTCAGTCCTCCTGCTTCTGCCTCCTGAGTGGGTGGGATTACAGGCCTGCACTGGTAAACCCAGCCTCTGATTCCCTTTCTCTAACTTATTTCTTTTTAATTAATTTTATTTATTTATTTGACTTAGGGGAGAAAGAGTCTCACAGTTGAGGGCTAGTCTTGAACTCCTGATCCTCCTGCCTTTGCCTTACACAGGGCTGGGATTATGGTCTATGTACCAGGTTTTAAATTCTGAGAGCAGACACTTGGGGGAGGGTTGGGGTGGGGGGGAGTCTCAGCTTCCCTGATTCTGGGCTCCTTTTTGCTACATGCAACCTGTCAGCACCAAGAGTGTAAGCAGAAGCCGGACAGCGGTGGGGCACACTTTTTTTTTTTTTCTTTTTGAGGGTGGGGGGTTCGAGACAGGGTTTCTCTGTGGCTTTGGAAGATGTTATGGAACTCACTCTGTAGACCAGGCTAGCTTCAAACTCAGAGAGATCTGCCTGCCTCTGCCTCTGAAGTGCCGGGTGGCACACACCTTTAATCCCGGCATTCAGGAGACAGAGGAAGGCAGATCTCTGTGTGCTCTAGGCCAGCCTGGTCTACAGAGTGAGTGTCAGGACAGGCTCCAAAGTTACATGGAGAAACCCTGTCTTGAAAAACAAAAAACAAACAAACAAACAAACACAAAAAGAGTGTAAGGAGAGCAGGATTCTGACCCTGCACCGTAACGTATTCACTCCGGGTGGATTCTGAGGTCTGCATTTGGATCCCGGACATGATCCCAGCTTGACATCGGAACACTAGCACGTGGTCCTGCTCCTCGATGGGGAAATCCATTACCACGAAATTCTGGTTCGAAGTCTTGTCTCTTATTTGCTTCACAAGTTTTGTACCCAGTTCTACTTTTTCAATCTTAAAATATATCGGTGGCAGTTCTTCTTTCACAGAACAATTGACAGTCACAACTCCACCTTCTGTCACCTCCTTTTTGTCCAGTGTCACAGTGGGGCTGGGCACGCCTTTGGAGAATGAGAAAGTACAGTTAGGATCAGTTCCTCATTATGGCCCAGTCTCCCTTATCTGTTACTGTGGCTGATCACTCAGTCCAATGCCCTAGGTAATCACTAGGAATGTGGATGCCTGGCATACTACTGGGTATTTTAAAAATGTAAGATTGGTGTTCCCAATGGTTTACAATCCCCTTCCGAAGGTGGTGCAATTAGATTCCCAACTAGAACAGTTCAAACAGAAAAAATCTGGATGTGATGGCACACACCTTTCATCCCAGCTCTTGGGAAGCAGAGACAAGCAGATCTCTGTGAGTTTGAGGACAGTCTGGTCTATGTAGTGAGTTCCAAGATAGCCAGGCCTACATAGTGAAACCCTGTTAATTGTCTGAGTGAGTATGTGTGTGTGTGAGTGTGTGTGTGTGTGTGAGTGTGTGTGTGTGTGAGGTGTGTGTGTGTGAATGTGTGTGTGTGGTGTGAGTGTGTGTGTGTGGTGTGTGAGTGTGTGTGTGTGAGTGTGTGTGTGTGTGTGTGTGTGGTGTGTGAGTGTGTATGTGAGTGTGTGTGAGAGTG